TCTCTGCATATTATATTTCCTTGAAATTTGATGAGCAAACCCTGTACCACAGAGAGCAGCTGTTCTTGCTGCCAACAGTCTGATGAACCTTCAAACAAGTTCCGATATAAGTATAGATGCATCATTCGGCAAAATCAAAATAAAGAGGAAATTAAATGAGTAAGAGTAACAAGAACAACATTGCAATCCATTTAGTTCACGCTATTTTCCTGTGGTCAATGGATTTCCCCTCACATGACCGTTCTTACCCAATACATTGAGTTTAGTCACTCATCACACAGTCGGCAGAGAACGCATAGAGAGCCAGTGAGTTCAAGCAGGGTGGAGAGAAGGAGGAAATTCTTGACAGAGGATTTATGGTTGCAAATAAAAAGAAAATATATATTTTCAAGGTGAGTTTCATCCAAATTATTCCATATGACCTTAACTGAAAAAGTTTGAAGGAAATTTATTTACGTATGGCTGTTTTGTCCTCAATATGTATCTTCCTTAGTCTTTAAGATTAAAAAAAGTATAAATGCTATTGAATTTGTAAAGGTTTATTATTATTTAATACTTAATTGGTTTATACCACATCCATGTTATAGAAGCTATTATTGAGAGCCTTACATTATGTTTATTTTGAGAAAATTCTTATGTTTAGGTGATGTACTGGAATAATGTCATTGTTTTTTCAAAATTGGTCCAATTTAATTATTCTAAAAAGAGGAAAGATCTGTACTTTAAAGATTTAAAAACTCATTGCACAACCATTGCAGCATTAACTGACATTCTTAACACACGTTTCCTTTCCTCCCTTTCCTTCTATAACAGCTTTGAAGGGTTTAATGGTTGCTGAAGCCATTTCTTAGAGGAATAAGGAATTTGGATCCATTATGAACATCACGACTGCTAGCCCCTTCCAGCAGACCTCTTCCTCTGGCTCCACACCCCTTCCCATTAGCATCTCTGCTCGCATTGGCATTGCCATCCTGATTCTGGCGTTCGTGCTGGGCTTCCCTGGGAACATGTTTGTCATTTGGTCGGTGCTCTGCAGGGTGAAGAAGCGCTCAGTGACGTGCCTGTTGGTGCTGAATCTGGCTGTGGCTGATGGCTTTGTGCTGCTCAGTGCCCCCTTGTTCCTTCGGTTCCTGGCAGGAGGGAAGGGCTGGGAGTTTGGCTCCGCTGCATGTAAACTGGTGCATTACCTGTCCAGTGTGAACATGTATGTGTCCATTTACCTCATTAGTCTGATGAGCATGGACCGCTGGCTGGCTGTTACTAAACCCTTTGTGTCCCAGAGAATGAGAACCAAGCAGTCCCTGCTGTTTCTTCTGCTCGGTGTCTGGGTATTGGCTTTTGTCCTGTCCATACCAATGGCTTTCTACCGCAGGTAAGACAATCACTCACAAAGGTTTTAATTAAAGTTTCTCTTGTAACTAGAGATTTAGTTTTTTTTTCTTTTTCTTTTTTTTTTTTTTAATTTCTAATTCTTTTTATCCACCTTCCCTTTGATAATAAAGTTCATAAGCTCCAAAACTTCTACAGAGTTTCTCACTAGAAACTGGACAATTGAATGTTGGGTTTTTTACGATTCAATAAGAATTTTTGTGAAGTTATTCCCAAAGTGGTTTTACTGCTTTCAAATTTAGATAAAAGTAAAATTCTAACACTTACACCATCTTCGTACAAGAAGTAATAATCACATTTTGGAGTGACAAGGCCAGAGTCGTGACGTTAATCTGATAAAGAATCTACAGATGGAGCAAAAAACTAGGGTAAGGGGCCTTGCAGAGGTCATGAGTTCAAGGGCTCATTACCAAACAAACATGATTAAATTACAGTTGAACATATAAAAGCTACTCAGTAATTAGAGGAAGGGCTGGTGCACTAATGCGGATAAAGATTTGTGCATTGTTAAATGAGATAATCGTTGACATTCAGTTTTGAAAAAATATTCTGTCTCATTTCAAAACAGAACCAAATCTAACTAAATCTGCTACAGGTTTGAATCATTTTGGAGTTAACTTGTTCACTTTTCGTTCGCAACTATAAAACAAACAGTTATAACTAAACCAATTCTAATTATATAGTGTAACTTGGAGCTATTATATAAAAGCAAACATTACATTAAACAAAAGAATTTCTGAATTAAGGTTATATTGATTTAAATTAAAAGCATAACCCAACATAGAACACCTTTTCCTCTATGTCTTAAGTCAATCCTTGCAGAAATTACAAACAAAATCTGTCAGCTTCCTCTTTGTTTGCATCAAAACCTTGCTACCACCTTAAAAGGGTATCCAGTTTTTGAATCAACACTACTATTAGGCCCCAGCAGTAAAAAGAGAAAGTCATTTAATTTCAAATGCTTATTATTGCCCTGAACGGTTCACAAAATTCACGGTTCGGTTCGGTTCACGGTTTCGTGGTCACGGTTTTCGGTTCGGTTCGGTATGTTTATTGTTACACAGAAAAATAAAAAAAATAATAAAAATGTATGAAAAATAAAAATGTATAAAATTAATGAAAAAAATCCCAAAAAATTAATGAATTGTAATTATTTTTAATGATCCGCGGAAACCCTGGATCATTTCCACATGTTTTGCTGCTTTGAATT